ATATCTATGATCAATTCCCCAAAACGAACATCAATATTCTGTTTTATATACTAGCACCAGTAAAAATAAATACATTTCCTAGAACACAAGGAAGGATTAGTGAAAAAGGAATCAAAATGTGAAATGTCTAAAACATTGAAATTGAAATTGAAATTTGAGGAAAGCCCAGGGAGAAGACTTGCAGTGAAGTGTAAAAATGAAGCTTTGTTCACTCCTGTTGCCTTATACATTGTCTAAAGTCCAGAAGTCTTCCTTGCCACTTTTTGGCTTGGCAAAACATTTTAATCCTTTCTGAATAGTTTCCTTATTTTTTTATATTGCCTGGAATTTGGGAATATATTCTGAATAGGAATTTTGAGAGTTAATTATGGCGTCAACTTGAAGAAGAACTGCCTATCAGATTATTTTAGCACAGTTCTGGGTGGGTCTGGAGGACTAAGTTACTGAGGAGAGGAGACACACCCTGGATGTGGGTGGCACTGACAAATAAGCTTGTGGCCTGGATTAAATAAAAAGAGAAAGAAGGAAGTTTAACATTTGCTTCTTCAGAGGAGATCCAGGCTTTGCCACTGACTTTGGGTGTCCATCTCCAGCCTACCAGCACAGATTGTTAAGGCTTTCAAGTTAGACTCTCATATATATATATATGTACATTTGTGAAAATAATTATTTTTGCTCGTAGCCCAAGTCACTTGTATATCAAAGCAATGAGAGACAGAAAGAATTTATTGTGATCCTGTGATGTTAAGCCTGACATACTACTCATACTGCAAGACATTGTTCAAGTTAAAATTTCTTAAGGAACACTCACAGCCAAAGTTCCTCACAATCCAAGGTGTGACTGCGCATGCATGTGCATTTGTGTGTGTGTATGTGTGTGTGTGTGTGTGTGTGTGTGTGTGTTTATCTGTCCCTCTAGTGAGTCCTAACTGATACAGGAGTCTTAAAATAAGCTTCAGAAGCTCACAATATTCAATTGTCTTAAAAAGGAATCTAGACTAATTACACTAATTATAACTGAATGATATTTAGATTCTGACATGGGGCAGAGCCAGAAGACAAATATGATCATTATTTTATTTTAGCATAGGACACTTAAATTTCATAATCATGTAAAAGGAATAAAATATATTTTGATACATCATATTAATTATGTATTCTGACATGTAAAATAAGAAAGATCAATAAATAGTTGAAGAATTGCCAAGCAAGATCATCATCCTATCAAAACATCCCTGGTGAAATCAAAGGTCTATATACACTGTGTGTTTGAGACCTTGGGCCAAATGCCCCTATCTTATCAACAGATTATATCAGCAACTTTGTCCATGGTCATTTAACAATAAGTACAACATCTTCATAACTTCAAATTCTGTGTAAGCATACCACTCTTAAGCTACCAAAACTAGTACATATTAGAAGTTTACTCTCTCTCTCTCTCTCTCTCTCTCTCTTTTTCTTTCTCTAACCATTGTAATCATTAAATCCTATAGCAAACACATTAATTCTTTAACCGTTTTCATACCCTTAGTTCACCTCTACTCTGGTTTCCCATATTAAATCCTATAATCAGTACAATCTTTATACTTTTATTGCTCCATCCTAATTACCTCTTCAAGATTTCTCTAATTAACTTTTTCACAGTTAGTTTATTCTTGCTCTGAATTAACTCAGTTTTTTAGTATTTCATTGTTGTGCATTTGTTTTTGTTGCTGTTTACTGCATAAACCCAGTTGCAATTCTTTTTCTTCTTTTATTAGATATATGCACACACATAAATTAATAAAGATAATAGTTTATCAAAATGTATTGAATATCTCTATATAAAACATTTTATAACAAATAACTTGTTATTTGTTTGGCAATTGTTTTTTAAAATAAATCAAGAATATTCCTTATCTATTTTGCCATTTGGTCTCTGATCTCTTCCCAGGTGTTTAGTTTTCTTTCCATTCTTTCTAGAAAGAAAAAAAAATCTCTATTGCATTTTGTTTGCAACATTGCCTTGTATTCTATAAGTTACTTATCTTTGTTTCATATTGCTCTGGGTCAATAGTGGGCATAGTAGAGAACTGGTACTGTGACACTTCAGCAAAAGCTTAGTGGTTTCACTTGGCAGTGTGGGCTCTTCCATATACCTGACTTCTTTTTACCTCAGCATTGCACTTCTCTAGCCAGAAACCTAACGTAGTCTTTCTCTGCCCTCCCCTCCACCTGTTTCCAACCTACTGAAGAGAAAACAGAGTGGTAAATATCCCAGAAAGCTACAGTGTTCTGGAGAGTATCAGAAATGCAAGCTGATGACATCAATAGTGATAGCCAAATGAATTTTGGTTTACCATATTCACAGATACACCAGCTCAGTGGCAGGTATACCAGCTAAGGGTTTTGCCACCATCCAAAAGAAGGTCAGGTAGTAGAGGTAGAATCAAGAACATGAAAAAAATTCACTCACTATAATTGCTTAGCCAGTTGCTGAGTGACTGCTGTATACCACCGTGAATTAGAACTTTTACATTTATACGTAATACGTTATTTAGTTTTGCAAGGCTTTTCTTTGTCTGATACAGTGATGTGATTTATATTCTGTGATCTTTAATAATAAGCCCATCACAGATTAATTAGCCTCAGACAATCAAAGGCTGTATCATATTACAGAGATCTAGAGAAATATTTACTCTGTTAACAATTATGAAGAGTTAAGTTTAACTGAGTACATTGCTTCACGTTCTTTTTGTCCTGAAGCTATGAATATGATAAAATACAAATACAAAGGCAGTTAGTTTGCCAAAATAAAAACCAAATATCAGATTCAAGGAGATTTTCTTGATGTTAATCTTGACTTTAAAATTGGTGTTTTTTGAAAACCATTGGCAAATATGAACATAAAAATGAAATATCTATATAGAAATAGTTTTTGTTATAAAAAATAGAGCATACTCCTAATTTCCTTTTTGTTTGAGTCATCGTTATTATATCTGTAATTTTTATAGCTTTTAGTAGTACATAAGAAAGGTTAATGCTGTTTCTCCACATCATACATGATGATTACCATAGTTTAACATTTTGATCAAGATCACAGAATCACTGTACCAGCACAGTTATAAAGTGCCCTTTACAATATCGAGCTTCCACTAAACCCTGACAATATAAAACTATATATATATTCCTTGATTTTCTCTTTTAGAATAATCAAGAACTGATCAAACTATGTACCTGTAAGCATTGCATCACAGTGCTATATTTAAAATTCTGGACCTAAAAATTCAGTTTATTTCTGTTTAGTTTGTTCCTTTAATTATCTATTTGTGGTGCCTTTTAGGTTTCTAAGAAACAGCAATATATGCATTTTTTCCATGACTTCTTTATATAGAGGTGCATACATTAAAACTAAACCATTTCTTTAGGAATTGTTCTTATAGTTGACTGGGTTTTAGGTGAATAATCCCAATGAAACAGATTAAATTTAAATAAATGGCAAGGTATTTTCACACATGTGAATTCAAATATTCATCATTAAAGTGTTCTTTTCTAGTGCTGGCCCTGGAATAAGCATTCTAAAATCAGATTTTCTCATTTTAGAAGTATAGCAATTTGTTACTTTTCACTTACATGTAACAGCAGAAGTAGAATTTCATTTTTGTTGTTGTTGTTGATAACAAAGGCAAGGTTGGAAAAATGGTCTTGGAAACGAGTGACAGTTGACAGCTTCTATGAACAGCCCCTGGGATACTGTAGCAGGTGACGATGCTTAATGCTGCAGCTCCATAGACTTGTACGGGCTTGGGACCAACATGCCTGTCGGAATTCAAAAAAACCTATCTGGGTAAAGCTCCCCTGACACTGACCTGAATAGAGATCACAGACTGGCACAGGCTTTCGGAGTCTGGGTATTGTGTACCTTTTTTCAAGGGCAGGCCATGGCACTGACAAAAGAATAAAAATTATGTTACCTGTATTGACAGAATTTTTTCACCATTTTTATACTTCAAAAGGAAGAGGCCACAGTCAAAAGTAAAGAGCAGAAAAATGGAAGAATCATTTATGTCTTGAGGATAACATAGGTTTATGTATATGTTTTATGGTTTTGCTTATGAAGAGACTTTTTCTGAAAACTATCATAAAAATTAGGAATTTAAACAGCATTGTGTCAGGAAATGAGATGCATGAAGGAAAACTAATATCTTTTATTTTGAGCATATTCTTCATGGATGATTGTCATCTTCAAGGAGGTGAAATGGTAGAAAATATGATTATGTATGCCTGTTTGTTTCATAGCAAAATAATGGACTTTTTCTGCTCTTTATTCTCATGCCCTAAGGAATGCGAGGAGATTCAGAAACATTCTTGAGCTGTTTTGGTGGCTCCTTAAGGTCTAAAAGTCACTGAAGCCTGTCAGGGGCATCATTATTTCCATTACTCAACACAGCATGAAGACATAGGCAGGGAGCACTCTTCTTATGAAAAACCACAACTAGGTGGACACATTCTGGAGCGTAGCAAAAGTTCTGGAGTTCTCATGTCAGCCAGTAACAGTCGTTACAATGTGCCTCCCTGTTGACCTTACTCCTCAGAGCAGCCAAGATAGGCTAGGATGTGTCTTAAAGTCAAGTGAATTGAAACTCACTGTGGCTTCCATTATTACTGATGTGTTTCTTATACTTCATAGGGATTTCAAATCCACTGTTGTGTTTATATCCAGGATGTCTTCCCACTGAAAGGAGGCCACTGCAGTAGGGTCCATCTGAAACATTGCTGGTCATTGCGACAAGAAAAATAATGTGTGAAGATTTTTCTCCTGAAAGCTTTACTCAGAGGTGACATCATATCTGCTTACATTGTATTGATCAAAATAAATGACATTAATCTCCAATTGATGTTTTTGAAAAGATAACCACAATTCTCTCTTATATCTTATTATTTAGTTAAAAGTTGTTCTGCACTAGTGACTTAACCCAATTCCTGAGTGAAGCAAATACAAGTAACTTTCAGAGGATAAACGTTCTTTTTTTTTTGGTACCGGGGATTGAACTCAGGTCCTTGCGCTTGCAAGGCAGGCCACTGAACTACTGAGCTAAATCCCCAGCCCTTTTTTTATTTTTTATTTATTTATTTATTTTTTGATAAACGTTCATTTTAAGTCTCAAAGAGTTCAAGCCAATAAAAGAAATTTTAAGGGAAATTGTCAGTTCACAATCAGAAATTATCAAGCAACCAAGAATGAAAAATAAGAAACTGTCAAACATAGATCCTAAAACTTCAGATATTGAAATGAGCCCAACAATATAAAATAAAGTATATTAAATAACACTGATTTCAATGCTTAAGGCAATTAGTTTGAAAACTAATTAAGGAAACAGAAGCATAACACTTTTTCAACTTTTGGAAGAGTAATTTGAAAAACTTCCATGTGTTGTGAAAAACAATTATACATTAATTTGCAATAACATAGCTAACAAATTAGAGAGAGAAATGGACTTAATTTGAAAAAAGTTTTCCTGGAAAACCTAAAATAAATTTTTTTTATATGTTGATGCTTTAAAAATTTCTCTTTGAGATCAGAGAGTAAGAGCGAATATTCATGTGAGATCCATTAAATACTTTTCTGGAAATATTAGCCAGGACAATAAAAAAATTTTTAAAAAAGGAAGAGTAGATGTATTATAAAAAAAGAGACTTTATACCATTGTTTACAAATGATATGACTAGATTAGAGGAAAGCTAATGTACATCAACAGGAAATAATTTAATTTAAAATGTACTATAACAATTTTAAGGTATAAAATTAATACATAAAAGTCAACTATAATTCACATTTATCAATAACAAAAACAAAAGATATTAAAATTTTCACACCAACTTTTTTAAGTGCATAGAAATAAAGAGGCCACAGTGATTGCACCAGTCTGCACTCCCACCAACAATAGAGAAGGATTCCTTTCTCCCCATGGCCATGCCAACATTTGTTATTGGTTGATTTTTTCCCCTTTTTTTTAATTGGTACATTTTAGGTACAATAGAGTTACATTCATCATTGGGACCTTATACTATTATATAATATATCTTGGTTCTTATTTTTTCCTTATTGCACTGCCCTTCCTCCACCTTTCCCTATTTACAGAGACTTTGTTTCCACTTCTTTCCTTTTCTCTTATTTTTTTCTTTTCCCTTCTTAGCTTTCCCGCCCCTCCCACTTCCCCTACACCTTTTGAACTTTTTTCCTACTACACAATATCAATTATATATTTTGATTCTTATTTTTTTTAGCTTATTACACCAGAGAAACTATCAGTTATTTACACATGTGTGTCCTATTAAACTCACTTAAGAGTATGTCCTCAATGTGCATCCACTCAGCTATAAATGTCTCTAATTTCACATTCTTTATGGCTGAGTAGTAATCCATTTTATAAAAAGAGGCATACATTCTTTAATCTCCAGTTGATGGGCAATTAGGCTGATTCCAAATTTTAGCTATTACAAACTGTGCCGCTATAAACATGGGTGAGCATATATCACTGTGGTATGATTCTTTAATTCTTTTGGGAAGATACCCAGCAGGGGAATAGCTGGGTCAAATGGGACTTCTAATCCTAGTCATTTGAGGTGACTTCATATTGATTTCCACATTTTTTGCACCAGTCTGCACTCCCAACAACAATGAAAAATTCCTTTCTCCCCACAACCCCATCAACATTTGTTATTGGTTGATTTCTTGATAGCAGCCATTCTTTCTGGGGTGAGGTGGAATCTCAGTGCTGTTTTCATCTGCATCTCTCAAATGACCAGTGATGACCTTTTTTTGTTTTTTCATGTTTATTTGCTGCTTTAATTCTTTGTTTGAGAAATGTCTATTTAATTCAGATGCTCATCTTGAATGGGGTTTATGAGTTTAGGATGCCTGATTTTTTTGAATTCTTTATATATTCTGAATAGTAGACCTTCGTGTTAGGAAAGCTGGTGAAATTTCTTTCCCACATTGTAGGTTGTCTCTTAGCTATGTTTGTAGCTTTTCTTGCAATGCAGAAGCTTTTAAAAAGATGAGATCCCAGTTGTTGATTCTTTATGCTATTTCCCATACTACTAAAGACTTGTTCATGAAGCCTTTTCCTATGTTAATGTCTTCAAGAGTTCTGTCTAACTTATCTTCCAGCAAATTTAGTGTCTCTTTTTTAATATTTAGATCTTTAATCCACTTGGATTTCAGTTTAGTGTGTGGTGAAAGATACGAGTCCAATTTTAATCTTTGGTAATTTGAAATCCAATTGTTCTAGCACCATTTATTAAAGAGGCTATTTTTCCTCCAGTGAGGATGATTGGCTCTTTGGTCAAAGATGAGTTTGCTGAGTATGTCTGCAGTTGTTTCTGCATCTTCTAATTGATTCCACTGATCCTTGGGTCTGTTTCTTTGCCAGTACCATGGTGTTTTTATCACAGTGGCTCTGTAGTATACTTTCAAATTAGGGATTGTGATACCCACTGCCATATCTCTGTCACCTAGAATGGCTTTTGCTATTCTAAGTCTCTTCTGGTTCCAAATTAATTTTTGGATTATTTTCTCTAGTTGGGTGAAATATACAGTTGGGAATTCAACGAGGATTTCATTGAATCTGTATAGCAGTTTTGGAAGTATGACCATTTCACCTTAATGGTTCTTCCTATCCAGGCACAAGGGATGTCTTTCTATATTTTTATATCCTCTTCAATCTCTTTTTTCAGAGTATTGTAGTTATCAATATAGAGGACTTTTTCTTCCTTTGTTAGATTGACTCCTAGATATTTCATTTTGGGGGTGCTATTGTGAAAGGGATTGTTTCCCTAACTTCTCTTTCAGTGAGTCTGTTATTTGTGTACAAGAAGACTATTAATTTTTGAGAGTTTACTTTGTATCCAGCTAGTGTACTGAATATGTCAATTTAGTCTAGAAGTCTTTTGGTGGAGTTTTTTTTTGAGTCTTCTATGTAGAGTATTGTACCTTCAGCAAATATTGACAGTTTAACTTTTTCCTTTCCTATCTTTATTGCTTTAATTTATTTCTCTTGTCTAATTGCTGTGGCTAGTGTTTCTAAAACTATATAGAACAGGAGTGGTGACAGTGGACATCCTTGTAGTCTTCCTGTGTTTATTGTGTAGGTTTTCAGTTTTTGACCATTTAGTATGATATTGGCTGTGGGCTTTTTATACACTGCCTTTATCAAGTTGAGACAAAGATGAAGTATTCCAATTTTCTGCAGGATTTTTATTATGAATGTGTGTTGAAATTTGTCAAATGCTTTTTCTTCATCTATTGAGATGATCATATTGCTTTTATCCTTGACTCTATTAATATAGTGTATTACATTTATTGATTTATGTATTTTTAGCCATCATTGTATACCTGGGATAAATCCAACTTGGTCAGATTATATGATCTTCTTGTTGGCCCTCTGTTTGACAGTATCTTATTGAGGATTTTTGCATCTATGTTCATTAGTGACATTGGCCTGTAGTTCTCTTTCTTGGTTGGGAATTTCCTGGTTTTGGAATCAAAGTAACACTTGCTTCTAGGAATGAATTTGGAAGTATTACTTCCCTTTCAATTTCACTGAAAAGTTTTAACAGTAGTGGCAGTAATTCTTTTGAAGACTTCAGCAATAAAGCCATCAGGACCTGATCTTTCATTTGTTGTTGATTTTTTAATTACATTTTCAATTTCACTGATTGTAATTGGGGAGTTTAGAATTTTTATATTTTCTTCGTTCAACTTTGGTAATTCAAATATATCTAGAAATCTGTCCATTTCTTCTGTATTTTCAATTTTATTAGGATACAGCTTCTCAAAGTAGGTATTGATGATCCTTTAGATTTCCCCTAGATCTGTTATGACTTCTTTTGTTCTTAGTTGCATGGATATGAGACTTTTCTTTCCTTTTTTTTTTTTTTTTTTGATAAGGCTAGCCAAGGGTTTATTGATTTTATTTATTCTTTCAAAAAAAACTCTTCGTTGGTTTTTTTTTGTATCATTCTGTTAGTCTCCATTGCACTGTGAAGGCCTCCACAGCATTATTATTGAGATATAATTTTCATTCATACAATTCATCCATTTAAAGTATAAAAATATCAAGTTTTGTGTTTTTTTTAGTTTATTTACAGCATTCTGCAACATTCACAACAATCAAATTTGAAACATTTTCATCATCCAAAAGCAACTCTATAATCATCCCCCTTTTTCTTCCTCCATGCAGTCCCAAGCAATATCTTATATGATTTTTTTTATGTAATTACTTGTTCTAGACACCTAAGAAATAGTATTCTTCCCTAATTGCCATTTTATATCCTTCAATCAATATCTCCCCACACCTCCTCTCTCCTAACTATCCAAGGCTGTAGCAAATGCTATTTGATTCTACTTCTACAACAGCAGTATTTTGAGATTCCACACAGGAGAGCAAGCATGAAGTGTTTTTCTTTTTCTGTCTGGTAATTTTCACTTACCATCCCATTCTCCAGAATCATATGTGTTCTTGTATATGACAGGATTTAATTATTTTTACTCTTGAATTGTATTGCATGAGGCATATATACATTTTTAATTCATTCATCTGTTGAGGAACACTTTGGTAGATATTTTTTTATCTTGACTATTATGAATATTGTTTGAATAAATATAAAAGTATGAATACATTTTCACCATACTCATTTCAATTGTTTGACTGTATAGCCAGTAGTAGTATTATTGTATCATTCAGATAGTGCTCCTTTTCATTTTTTGAGAAAACATCATATTGTTTTCCACACTGCACTCATTTACATCCCCACTAACAGTGCATAAAGGTCTATATTTTCCATATCTTTGCCATCACTTGTTATAGATTTTCTTTCTCATACTAGCCATTCTTACTGTACTGAGATAATAGTTTAATGTGACTTTGATTTTCATTTCCTTGGGGATTAGTGATGTTAGCAATTTTTCATAAACTTGTGGCCATTTGAATTTGCACTTTTGAAAACTGTCTCTTCAGTGTTTTATGCATGAGTCTTTCAATATCTTCAAGTATGTGGACACCTGTGGTAACTTCTCAGTAGGCAAGTAAAACACAAATAATACAAATAATTGCAGATAACATCCTACATAACAGAAAGCTGTCTAATACGTACACACACACACATATGCACAGTGTTTCTGCTAAGAAACATATAAAAAAACAAGGCGAGACAGTTTGGAGATTGCTGGTACTGTGGCAGGAATGGATAGAAAGAAACTCTGAGTCAAACCATCCTTAGGTAGCCCTGACTTGTTTCCCAACATATAAGTGTACCTCCACTGGGATCTCATACACTTCAAAAGAAATTCATACAGGCATAAATATTCTGTATTTGGTTTAACATTATGAATTACTAATGATACCTGCAATGAAAGTAATAAAATACACCAGAAGAGTGGTTAGATAGCCCTTGATATCCACTCAGTGCATTGACTTCCATGAAAGAGTTGCTCTCCTCCTTGGAAACTCATTTAATCCTTTGTTGTATGTTTGAAATATCAATGCCCAGGACACAGCCCAGACTATGTAGATCAGTACAATGCAGATCAGAGCACAAGAATGCAAATTTTAAAAAGCCAACCTCATGCTATTTGTAGGTGTAACCAAGGCTATTAAAATATTAAAATCATTAACTAGTAAAGCTATAACTATTAAAAGTTTATGTTTCTGCTTTCACACACTAATTAAGAACTAAGGAAGTGGGTGCTATTTAGGAGTAAGTAAATAATCCCACAAAATGATATGTGATATGCAGCAACTTTATTACAAAGAGATACGTATGAAATTTCATTGACTGGGCAGTTCCTCTTAAAAGACAAACTGTGGGATATTTTTGCCCTTTTCCAGCTCTAACCATGTAATTATATTAATACAGAATATTTGTGCAGAAAATGTTGAATTTCAAAAAGTATATTGTCCATGAACTGTATTAAAACTGTGCTGAATGGGAAGTTTATGACTATTCTGATTGTTAATTTATGTGCCAACTTCATGGAGCCAATGGATACCTATACATTTGGATAATCATTATTTTAGATTGCTTCTGAAAGAGATTAACATTAGAACCAGTAAATTGAATAAAGTAGATTGAGTTTTCTAATGAGGGTCTTCATTATTCGATCCCTTGGAGTGCAAAATAAAATTAGGTTGTGGAGTAAGAATTCTCTAACTTCAACCACTCTGTGTTTCAGCTGGAACATTGGTCTTCTCTGGTCTTCAGACTTGGACTCAGATTGGGATTCACATCATAACCCCTCTTGGATCTTAGGCTTTAAAAGTAGGATTGTAGTTTATAGTATCATCATGCCTCTATCTCCAATTTATAACCTACTATCTCAAGAGACTGCTTAATCACAGTAATAATGTGAACAGACTCATTATAATACATTCCCCTTCCATGTTGTCTCTGTCGCTGTCTTTCTTCATCTTTGTATAGTTTCCATTTTGCTGACTGATGTGATCTAATTTTGAAGTAAAATATAACTATATTTAAGAAAAAATTTAAAAACAAATGGGAAAAAGGGGAAAAAATATCAACCTCTTCAAAATATTAAAAATAAAACAATCCAAAGTAATGAGTAAGATATTAAAGATTATCTAGTGTTTCACAAGTTAAACTGTGGAACAAGAGTAAAGTTACAAAAAATATTATAAAATTACTGCATGTGACATAAAAAGAGAAAAGAACATTCATAATTTTTCAAAAAAATTGATATAAAATCAACTTGAGATTAAAACTGTTCCCATATAAATGATATCTACTTAACTAGTCTTATGATGAATGCTGACAAACAAAATTAAAATTTAAGGAAAAATTAGCATTTTTAATTTTGTTTTTATGGTTATTCTTGCACTGCATCCTTCTACCATACCTTTTCTTTCCCTAAATATTTCTATCTCAGTCTTGATTATCAAAAATGACAATTAGATAAATAAAATTCACAATGTATATCAGAATATCAGTTAAGCCTTATTTTCCTGAAAATGATACAGTATATTCAAACTTACTTAAATTTAACAAAATAAGTTAAATCAGACAACAAAAATGTTCAACATATGGCTTAATACAAACCTTCCAATGAGTTCATCAGATTAGGGCATAAATTTTCTGGTCCATGTTTTATCTGTCCTATATTTCACTGCATCAACTCCATGCTTAGGCTAAAAGTGAGGCTACAGACAGCACCACAGTAATAGTACCCTCATTCCATCTTCTCAGTAGACCGTTACTGGATTTGGAGAAGCAAGTGTTTCCTTCTGAGGCAGTTTCTAGATTCTTTCTTTCCTGAGCAAAGAATTGGTCAAAGAAGCACAAATAATAGACAGGTTTTGTCAAAGTAGGAAAAGAAATAGGCACTGTAAATTGAGTTCGGGCTGAATAAAAGTATTAAAAGAAATAAACTCCATAATATGAGGACAGGCTATCCATGCAAGAGAGAACACAGTGACAAAAACTCAATGTGCATTATCTTTTTGTATTATCCCTTCCTTGGGCTGATGTAAGGTCTAATCCATCCCGTGGAAAACCTACTTGAGTTCTCAAAAGAAGTCCACCATGAAGGATTTGGGGAAATATTCTGTACAGGTGTCCTGGGATTTTGTAATTAACAGATCACACCCACTTCCCCAGCCAGCCCCTGCCCCCCACCTTCGGTGTGGGGAGTCAAACTCAGCACCTTGCACTTGCCAGGAAGGCACAACAGGCACCATTAAGCTAAATCCACAAACTTCCCCAGCCAGCTGTAACACACCTTAATTTCCTTTCTTAAAACCACAGCAGTCTTTGCAAATCTCTTCCCCATGCCATTGTACAGTGCATACTGAGCTCCTGGTTTTTGAAAGGTTAAAGAATGAAGTCCTGAACCAAATGGAGAAATTCAGAAAGTTTTTATTGGAAATTAGAAGGGTCACAAGTGGACTGCCACCATGGCTTCTCAATCCAAAGAAACAGGCAAACAGGGTGTATAAATTGCTAAATGATTCAACGGACACCTATCACTGGTGGTTCTGTGAAGTTCAAAAAAAACGACCAATTGAAACTTAGGCTCTCTAACCCATTTCTTTCACACAGCATTTACAGTAAACTGAGATCTTAGAAAGAGACTGGTTATTTTGCATTATAATTTCCTCAAAACTGCAGAACATGGTAGAGGATGCTCCATGTCGAGTGGGCTGCGTTCCATGTTGCCTGAAAAAGTTAACTCTTGGTCCAATGTCCTAGTTCACTTTTCTTATTTAAATTCCCATTAGTATGACTGACTGCCCACCTTTATCTCAGGCCCCTCCCCTGCTTTATATTCATAATCAAACTAAATAATTTATTCATCTGTTCTGTTTCGGTTTCATGCTTATTGATTAACCAGTATTTGAAACACTGTGCTCTGATTGACCAGGCCTAAAACACATGTTCCATTTTGAATCCAGACATATAGTGAACTCCATGTGACATATATCTACCAAATGAAAGTCAGGATTAAAAGAGATGTATATGGTTGGACATTAGTGGCAAAGATAATAGATTTTCATAATAGTAAGCAAAAGTTAGATTCCTTTTCATGCAAATGAAAAATGGTTACATTACATAATCAAGCAACTTCTAGAAATAGAAGTAAGAGCAAAAGAAAGAGCTATCCTTTCATAAATAAAGGTACAAAATTAAAACAAGTATGTTTAGGAAGAATTTTAATAGTTGAGTAACATACAATGCTATTAAATCAAATGCTGTAATACTTAAAATATCTACATTTATGTAACATACATAAAGATTCCGAAATATTATATATCAGTGTCTGAAAGGAAAGGGAAAGCAATTGTCTAAATCCTCCAGGATCAGTAAGCAGGCAAGGAAGATGGATATCATGAAAACCAGAATACAAAGTTTCATATCTATATATCTATACAGATATATATATAGATATATATGTTGATATAATGTTTAATATATGAATATATGTTATATATGTTATATATATTTAATATATGTTATATATAATATAATTGCATTATATTATGTATATCTCTCTATTACAATTAAGTTAACTCCTACAAGTTCAACTGTAGTGGTAATAGTCTGTAGCAGGGAGAGAACAGAATAAGGGCTTCATTAGGCCTTATTAGAGAAATTAAGAGAAAATCTTACTCCTGAAAGCAGCTTTTTTTCTCTGCATTTAGATTCAAGGGATAAAAGGACAAAGGTAGAAAAGGAGAAAAAAACAGACCTAGAAAGGCACCAGGTAGGGCAGTTACCATAAGAATTTATCACAGAAAGAGCTGATAGACAAACCAGGGAGAAAGCCAGAGCATGGAAAACCAGGATACCTGGGTATCCCTCTCCCACCTCCAATAAAATGCAAAACAGACAATCGGTGGGCACCTAACATGACAGAAAGCTCTTTATTATATAAAAATGCATTCATTTATGCATACTTCACTATAGGTATTTCGCTAGATACACACAGACACACACCCCTTACTTAATTACTAACTCTAAGCTGCCTCTCTATAGAGCCCCAACATAAATCACAAAAGAGAGGTAAGGAGTCAAATGAATCCTTAAAGAGGAATGTGCACATAGGCAAAGGTACCGGGGTAGGACCTTGAGATGTAGGATTTACCCCAAAGACAGCCCAGAGAGCCAATCAAATCATGACAAGTTCAAGGAAGGAAGGGTCACTAGTCCTAATAAAAGAAGCCAGGAACAAGTGCTCAGGGTAATCCATCTGACCCTTCCCCTCTCTCCAGGATAGCTTGTCTTTGTCTGCTTTTTCCCCTCTATAAATAAGTAATTTTCCTTTATAAAACTTTGTTTATCTAATTCATTATAGGTTCTGTTTTTGATCCTAGCTGGTTGCCTGCCCAGATGTGACTTGACTTCCATTTCCAATCATGTTAAAACAGCACAACATGCATCAAGAATGTTTCACACTCAAGGTGCTTCTGTGAACTTTTAGAGATAGATCACTTAGAACACTCACTCAAAATGAACAAGTAAAATACAATATTTTATTATTAGCTTCATTCTGCGACGTCTAATATTTAAAACCCCGATCATGAAATGATACCATAAGAAGTCTTATATTTCTCCCATTGGCAACTTGATCGGCTTAGGTGCTGCCTAGGGGATTAGTAAAACACAACTCTTGGTGTTTCTGAGTGAATCATGGAGGTGTAACCTTGGGTTCTGTATCTATCCATTGTGTCTTCATTTCTAGCTTTCTGAATATTTTCTGTGTTCTGCTTCCTGGCTTTGAAATGAGCCATTTTACTCTGCCATGTTTTTTTGTCATGATGTTCTTGCCTTGTAGCCTGTTAACCACGAGCCAAATTAAACCTCTCCTCCTTTAACTTGTGTGTATGGGGTATTGTATCTCAGCCACAGAAAGCGGGTTAATGCATCCATCCTCTTTTCACATCTGGATAAGAAAAGTCATGCTCACTCAAGAAAATAAGCACTGGTAAATATGTCAAACATATGGATTTTAAGAAAAAAAATGAAAGAGCTCAATATATTGGAGTTTTAAGGAACTATATCATTGCTTGGACTGCCAGGACAAAGGACTACATGCTTGATAACTTTCATCACAGAAATTTATTGTCTTGCAGTTCTAGAAGTCAGAAGTCCAAAAACAAGATTTTGGCAAGTTTCATTACTTTTCTGAGGGCTATGAGACAATATCTGCTCAATGAATCTCTCCTCACTTCTAGTCACTTGCTGGCAAGTTTTGACATTGGTTGGCTTGCAGACACAGCAATCAGATCTTTGCCTTACTGGCGACTGGTTTTCTCCTTACGTACATACATGTCTCTACTTTTATTTTATTATATCTGTAGCACAACTGTTTACAAATAAAGATACATTCTTGGGTGTCCGGTCTTAGGACTTCACCATATGACTATCTGAGGAAACAATTTAACTCATAACAGTAATAATTATTTAACTAATTGATTTAAATAATTATTTTAATATTTTAAATATTTAAATCATTCTTTAAATTTACTTTGCATTCAGTATATTCAAGATATACTGTTAATCCAGAAATCTAGTGTATATGCTGAACATTTGAAAGTGAAAATTTTTTCCAACAACGTGGTTTTGTGTTCTCAAATTGCCTTCACTTGTACTCTGTTAACAGAAACCAGAAGGGCATAGTAAATGTCTCAAACAACAAAGTCAGGGATTATAAAACAAACAAACAAACAAACAAGCAATGCTGTTTACTGACTCACCACGGATATGAAGTCAAAGAGAAATTCTAAAGCTTAGACTGCCATTAAATAATAATTTGTCTCAACCTTTCACCTGGATAAGATTATATGAGCAGTCTGTTGTTGTGCATGATATTGGAATTTTACAGGCAAGATAAGTAAAGTATTGAAGGAGTTATTTTAAATAGAGCATTTTCAAAGGTTTCAATATGGTTACTCAATTTGATTATTTTTAGCTGTCATGTAAGAAACAAGAATTATTTCAAAATAACAAATTAAATAAACCCCTTTAAGATATGCAACTGAAAAGAATGAAGGTATGGAGTCAACTAAAACTTTTCTATTTCTATGGTATATTAATGATGTTTTCCTTAGCTTCAAATTTATTTGAGAAAAATATTCATAAGCTAACTATGTTAGAGTTGTAAATGATCAAAACTGGAACAACTTTCTTAACAAATTAAATAAACCAGTGCTCATTTATAACTAAGTGCCAAAATAATTAAATAAATGGAAGAAATTGCACAGTTCTCATATACAGAAAAATTCCAAATAATTTATGGAGGTATTCTAGCATCCTTACATTGCTGCAGGTCAGAAGTCACAGAAAAAAATCCATGTGTAGAGGGGGCTGCATTCTATTTTAAAAGCTCTAAGGTGAATCTTTTTTATCTCCTTTACCAGCTTCAAGAATTTGCCCACATACCTTGGCTCATGTGTCCTTCCTCTATCTTCAAAGGAAGCAACATCGCATATCACCTAAATCTCACCCTAAATCTGACACATTGAAATCTATGCCTTTTCTGCTTGGCATGTATTCAGAAAACAACTTGACCAAAGTAATGAGCAACTTCAATAATATATTTCCATGGTAATTTTTCTCCACCATTGGTGATCAGACACCCAGACCGAGCATGTAGGTACTGACAAACAGCTGTACAGCAGCCTATTTCTAAGCAAAAATATTTGCTATCTGGCCCTTTTAGAAAAAAAATGTATTGATCCTGCTCTAGAGATCATTTTTCCTCTCACTAAGAAAATGCAGCATAAACAGTGTAAATTATATGAAATCATAGGTTCTTCCATGTATATATAAATTTCCGGAACAGTTCACTTACACAGGGTTGGAACTGGCAGTTGCTGAGATGATGCATATTAGTTTTCCATTTATTTTTTCCATAATGCTATTGTAGTAATCTCCACACTAGCAAGAGTTTTCTGAAACCACTGATTTAGATAAATTAACAGTAGAAAGAATGGTTTCTGGAAGAAAGAATAAAAAAAAACTACATTAGTTCTAAAAGAAGTTGTGTATTTCTGAGGCATGTGTTATTTCTATATTTCACAGTTGTAAATCCATATTCTGTAGAGAAACTTGATGATTCATGCCTGTGTTTTTTCCCTAATAGCTGTTAAAGGTAATTCAAGAAGTCCTGGAACTTCCTCTGCCTAGGAAAACCTTCAACATGATGCATCAATCGGGGAAAATTTATTTCATGAAATAATATTTTAAAATATTAGCTCTCTCCCCACTGAAAGCTATTAGTAACAATTATGTGTCTACATGTGTGTGATTATTGTAATGAATAAGTATGAAATATATATATTTACCTAATCTTACAATTAGACAACATAATGTTTTTACTATTACTCTGTAGGTGACTGGTTATAGTATTTAGAACTATGCAGGTACCATAGCTTTATTTTGTTTGTCTTGAATGATTTATGTATTACTGATATTCCAAAGAAATAATCATTCACTCATATTGTGTAAATAAATTGTAAATAATTTATAAATACTTTTAAATAATAGTAAATTGGAGAGAACATCAAACTCTGTTCAATATTGGTTGCTCACATTTTTTAAATGAGTCCATGGTGATATTTGCCCCTTCAAAAATGGCACCTCTTTTCCTTTCTGAGAATCTTTAGTTCAATAAGATGTCACTTTTTAATTTCTCTTATTTGAAATTAGAAGCCTATATATGGGTTTCTTTTCTTTCACTTTATGTCTGTAGTTTCCTGTTTGTTTAATCACAGTGTGTTTTGTTTAATATTTCAGTGCTGTTTATCGAGACACCTTAATTTGATTGTTTCCTTTTGAATTTGTCTTCACCAGGTGTTTCTTGACTAGAGCACATTTCCCACATGATAAAATTAAAGGTCTAATTAATGCCTTTAAGGACATCGGTGCACAATTCAGCAACTAATTTTCTGCAGGGGGCATATTTAGGTGTTTAACTAGGTGGAACTCTGTGTAGAAGATTTCATTTGCATACAAAGCCCCTTTTATTTCTTCGTAAACACTCTTCAACACGGAGACAAAGAACGCGTTCACATTACTTGCTGTGCACTTTTCTAGCAAGCAGAGGAATACAGAAAATAAATATATCTAAGCCGCATTTCATCAGAGCAGAAACAAAGATCCTATTAGATGAGGTATTGAAATATGAGGTCCATTTCTTTGGAGCAATGAGGATAATACACAGCATTTGAAAATGGTGGGAGGGGGAGGTCTGTAGAGGCACTGCATGAAAAATGAAGGCTTTGAAAAATCACATCTGAGATGTAGAGAATCTTAGGAAAAATACGGCATCACATCAAGCCCAAAAAGGAAAACTAAATCACCACCAGGGGATGGCTGGCAGAGAGCTGGTCCAGAAACAAAACTCATTGATCTATCTTAGGGCTACAAGGACTGGGAAGGGGACCATCTGTATAAATTCTGGGACAATGTTTCTAATCTAATTTCATTTCATTTTCAATCTATTTTGAAGCACAAATGTTGTAGAGATCTTAGATATTATTGCTAATAATATATTGTCTACATTATTAGATCAAATCCATTAAAAATTGCATTTTCATCAAGTGACCTCAAAAATGTAATTTGTCAGGGACAGAGATAAAATGTTGGCTCTAATTTTACTTCTCTACAAAACCATAATCTTTAATGGAAATTCACATCTGAAATGGACAACAGTTATTTCCTTCGCGTTTGTAAAATGCTAGCATGTGTGAAAGCAAAAGTTGCTTTGAATGGAGTTGAATGTCCAGAGACTTTAACCAAGGAGCAAGCCAGAACTAAGTTTGAATTCATCTGTGCTGACATAAAAGCCTGGAGAATTTTTTCGGGTATATACTATCTGTGTTTCCTCATTGGCTTCACCACAGAATGAAAAAGTAAACTTTCTCATCCCACCTCACTCAGGTTCCTATTTCCCACAGCCACTGAGAGATAAAGACCTGCTTTCTTTGATGATTCTATTTCAGAGAGAAATAGAACCTGTATCCCAGGTCCTTGACAAAGACTGTCCAGGGTTAATTTTGACAAGCAGCTTTTTAAAGATGTACATCTTACAGGGGCAGTAAGAGAATGTTTGTGAAGAAAGGTTATGTCATAAAGTAAGAAAGGTCTAGGAGAAGAAAGTTCAGCTAATAAATGGTCAGGGGTGTGGTTTAATGTTTTTGTTTGTGTTTTGTTTTGCTTTTGAGGTGTTGGGGATGGAACCAGGACCTCACTCACACCAGGCAAATGTTTTAGCTCTGAGTTTAATCCCAATATTGCAAAAAATAATAGTAATAATAATTAAATAAAATCTAGTCAAGCTGAAAGGAACTTTAAGTCTTTCTTGGTCACTAGGAGAATATAATGTTTAAAGAAAAGCATCAGAATCAATCTTTCAAATCTGTTATTGTCCTTACATGTCAATTAAATAGAAATTGTGGAGTCCCCGATTTTTTAATTTCAATTAGTAAAATAACAGTTTCCTCTGGGATGTTCATTCATAATCGCTTACTGTGTGAAATTATGTAAGTACTGTATCACATGGGGCAAGGCAGATATTAAATTAGGAATTAAATATTAAAATAAAAATCATAGTATCAGAATTATGAAGCAATGTTTATCACAGCATTCAACATACTTGTTGCCTCTTTCTTTTTTTCATTTTTCAATTTCTCATTTGATAAATGCTATTCTTTTTTTTCTCTGATTTGTTTGTTTGTTTGTTTGATACAGGGTCTCAATATGTAATTCAGGCTGACCTTTAATTCACTTTGTAGCTCAGACTGGCCTTGAACTCCCAGCAATCCTCCTGCCTCCATCTCCCAAGTGCTGGAACAACAGGAATACACCATCATGCCCAGCTACTCTTTCTATTATACATGTATACCTATTCATGAATCCATACCCTCACTTATGAAACACTAGGGTTTAGACATCCATGACAAGAATGTCAACTTGAAATTCTGTGTGTCAAATTATAATTGTTGTGAGTTCAAATACAAAATGAAATATGCATTGTTCAAAAATTATTTAGAATTTCAAGTGGTGCATGCCCATAACCCTAACACTTGGGACCCGTAGTCAGGGGTCCAAGGCCAGCCTAGGTTACATAATGAGTTCAAAACAGCATAAACTATAAAGTCAGTCCCTGTCTCAAAACAACAAAAAATACTTACAATTTCAAGGTAACAAAAATGGTTATTTAAACCCAGTATAGGGTCCTTCTATAGAAGAGTCCAAGAGTGCAACAGCATAGATCTTTTGCCCATGGAGCAAGGCTTTCTCTAATATCAATTTTTTCCTAAGAATGTTTTTATAATTTTTATGCAGAGATGGATTCCATTCCCAAAACGTCTCTTAACACATCTCTTTTGTTTGCCGTGAATTTCAATACTTTGGGATTGCTTCTCCTTTTCCTTGATAGATAAGATTTGAGAACAGAGTACAGATCCTACACTGCATTGCTTAACAATGGGGTAAGTTTTGTGAAATTCATTTTGCTATGATTTAGATCTAAAATGTCCCCCCAAGTCCCATGTGTTTGAAGGTGACTGGTTTCACCTTTTTCTATGGAGGAGCTCAAGTCTTTGCCATTGCCTTAGGATGCTAATCTCCAATTCCTTCAGGCCTTAGGCACAGGCTTTGCAGCTTTCAAACACAGACTCTGGATTTTGGACACACTCACACCAATGTCTCTGCACATGTGCTTTCAGACCTTAATCTTTGATTGTTACAGAAAATGGGGGAAGATTATTTCATTCTCAACTTATTGGTTGCTGACACTTTTAGCCAGGGTGGATCTTGCCTCTTCACTTGTTGGTTTACATGTCAATCATCTGCAAACACATTCAGAATGTAACTAATCCTGTAAGCTATTTTTACACAAGGAAAATTATCATATCACAATTAACAGTCACAATATATATCACCCAACTCTTTTCAGACTTCCTTATTAAATCTCTCTCTCTCTCTCTCTCTCTCTCTCTCTCTCTCTCTCTCTTTTGCTTTTTTACAGTACTAGGGATTGAACTCAGGACCTTGGCTTGCTAGGTGCCGTGCCACAGAGCTAAATCCCTAGCCCCAATCCTATATATCTGTAAATTATCACCGCTCTATTCCATTAAGAAAACCATCACTTATGAATTACTGCAGAAACAGATGACTCTTTCTTACTTATGTACCTCTCATGTTGAGTTCATCCCTAGCCAAGTTGCCACCCTATAACTTAGGATAATTTTGTAACGCTAGACTTACCATGTGACTCCCATTTAAAGTCCTACTTCATCTTTCTTAGGATAAAATCCAAAATAGAATATAACAAAAGTGCACATGTATCTCACATTCTCAGGTGTAAGAAGAAAAGTAAATTCAGTGGTCAAGGCTGTCAAAGACGAGTTCAGGTTTGGATAATCTCAGTTTGAAGTGCTGATGGTGTGTCCAGGTGCAGATCTCCAGCTGGGATTTGTTTATCTGTGTCTTCACTGATCTCTCCTTTTCACAGGAAAATACTAGTAACACCTCTGTTACCTGTCCCAGGAACATTTCTCTATATTTAACAAGTTAGAAAAAAGCTTAACTCACACATATAAAGAGAAGTTAAAGCATCCCTGTCAAGCGGACAGAAATGAAGTTGGAAAGTTATCTTAAAGGGATGAATCTTGGCCCTTCAGATCAGGCTGCTTCTTTATTTTATAAATGCAGTAAGAAGCATAGGTTTCAGGGAAGCTGCTGTAAAATTCACCACGACTGAAACACGCAAATCTGCACAGAATGTTTGCTGGAGTGTAAGTCAACGCAATGCCATTGAAGTAGCCTGTATATGCATATCTCACCGGTGACATTTTGAGCTCTGCTAATCAATTCCTGTTTGAGATAAATGCATCTACTCGTATCTTAAAAGACTGGATTCACAGAACCGTGAC